GGGGAGGGATAGGAAGATAAAACCTGGGTAACCTTCAGAGTGATATTACTCAAGCCTCAAGTCAGATCTTGAAGTTTGTAACTATACTTCTTTTAGATTGCAAACTTCATTATGTTTTCTGTTTTAGAGTTAAGAAAAATGCAGATTATTGGGAATATATAACAGATACTGAACCAAACTCCAACTGAGAATTGGTTAGAGAAAAGCAGGGATCAGGAATCCTATTAGCAGATGAGAGCTTTTACAAGTCTTGGTTCCCTCTCACTTCTATTTCTCCATCATTTACATCTTATACATACTTTGTGTGCCCAATAAAAATACATCTCAAATGCAATGTGACATTCCCCAAATAAGGATCATCCCTTTCCATTTTGAAGTAGGATAACTCTGTGTTATTGCAAGAATGACTTCCTTCCCTTCATTGTGTTCCTCCTGTTATAATGCCAAGACACAAAGAGAGCCCCAAACAAAGGTGAGTTGGTCCATCTGCTCACAAGATGTGAAGAAAGGGTAGAATAACAATAATATTCTTTATTTAGCCAAAAGAGTAGTTCTGGTTTCTGCTACAAACAGAGAAAAAGAAAACAGAAAACTGGTTCAGTCATTCTAGGCCAAAGTTAAAGAATTCTTTTTTCTATTTTTGATTTAATTTGGATGCCACTGTCATGTGGTCACAAAGATCCTTTGCTTAGCCAAACTTCAGTCAGGCTTCTGAAATTTCTTCTCAGTCCATCTCTGTACTTCCTTACAAAATCCTGGTTGAGCAAAGTAGTTTTAGCTACATATCTGCTCATGCCAGATATCTGATTGGGTTCTTCATCTGCCACCATCCCCCAGGTGACATCTTGTTGCCCTGTCCTGCATTCAGCAAGAATCCTGTTCGGTCGGTTTAGCCAGAACCCCCTTACCTCTGATGTTTCCTCTTAGTAATTTTCCATCCTTTGACCCTCCACTCTGCTCCTTGGATATAAATTTCCACCTGCTCATGCCATATTTGGAGTTGGTGTGGATTCTGCAATCAGTGGGTTGAAAACGTTGGGAAAATCAGGGAAATGGAATGGAGTCAGGGATCTGCTGTCTTCTGGAAACTTAGTATCTATGAGAATAGTACGCACTGAAGGAGCTTAGGGAGTGGAGAATGGAAAACAGAAGACTGTGCTCTAGGACCTGGGAGAGATTACCTGAAGGGGAACTAAAATAGTGCCATAAGCATACTTTCTTTGACATTCCCCACTACAAGACCCTATACCTTGTTACAGTGGTCCCTATACATATTGCAATGATCCTGAATAAAGTCTATCTTCCTGTGCTTTAACAAGAATAATTAAATAATTGTTCCTTTGCCAATGGTGTTACTTTTTTCTTTTTTTTTTTTTTTTTGAGACAGGGCCTCACTCTGTCACCCAGGCTGGAGTTCAGGGCTCAATCATGGCTTACTGCAGCCTCAGCCTCCCCAGACTCAGGTGATCCTCCCACTTCAGCCTCCCAAGTAGCTGGGACCACAGCTGCACACCACTACATCCTGCTAATTTTTGTATTTTTTGTAGTGACAGGGTTTTTCTGTGTTGCCCAGGTTAGTCTCAAACTCCTAGGCTCAAGTGATCCTCCTCCCTTGGCCTCCCAAAGCACTAGGATTACAGGTATGAGCTATCACGCCCCACCTGCGTTTAATAAAGTCTTGCCATGCCACCCATGTGGCAATGCAGGGAAAACATCTTGAGTGTCTGGGACAGGGTAAGAAAACACCACAGTGAGGCAGAATCAGTGGCTACTGCTGGGCGTGAACCTGGATAGTGAGGGTAAAGGCCTTTCTGTGCAGCACCATCTTCTCAAGTCAGGAAAGAGCCACAGATTTGACATCACAGCTTTCTCTCCCTGGATTCAGAACACTGTTTTCTGCTTAAGAACCCTACAGGAAGACACAAATATACTTCCAGGGTAATATTTAGCATGAGAATAAAATAACAATCTCAAGGCTGACTCTAAGGGGCAATAGTGAAATTATTTCCATAGTGAGGGGGAGATTTTTATCCCCAGCTCACTTATTGTCGTATTTGCTGGGGTTGATTCCTTTGTATTCCTTAAGAATTATTAGCTAATATTTTAATACGGGTCACTGGGAGATGGGATGCGATCATTACAGAGGGAAAAGAGGATCTTCACACATAAGCTTTAGTCTACTTTTCAGTTTTGTGCAAAGTTGGATAGGATCCAGAGACTGGAGAGGGTCTTGGTTCCTCCCCACCTTCACGTTTCCACTATTCACATCTCATGCACACTTTGTGCATCCAACAATAACACGCCTCAGATGCAGTGTTGTTTCCGGAGCCTCTTAAGGAGCTTATTTTTATCGTGCCAAGAACTTTCTGCTTTCCATGAAAGTAGTTCTTTTAGTTAGCACCTTGAATATTCCTTTTCCTAAATTCTTGCTCTCAAATGAAGAACTGCTTTGAACACTACAAAAAGATCTAAGTAGAGAAGAGGACTGGGAGAAGAACAGACACTAGCCATCTGCTGCTCTGGCTATCCTTATGCAAATTGAAAAAGCTGTTTCTTTTCTTTTTTTAAAAGATATGTTTAATTTTGAAATTGTATAAAAAGTATCTAAAAAGCCCAATGTTAAACTAATAATTTATTTCAAAGTTTATGAAACATGAGTATAAAGGAACATGATTGACTTTACTCACATTCTAGCTTATAAATATCTGAATAAATATTATCAAAATCAGATCACAAAATGGGAAGCTTTATTCTCACTCAATTGGTAGTATCATTTTCTAAAAATTTTTAGAAATAAACTTTGGCAATTGGCTTCAGAACTAAATTAAAATTAGACCAAACATTATTTTTGCTGTATAAAAACTGTATTTTCTTTTCTTTTCCCCAACTTTTCATCAGATTTGAAGCCATGTATCTCCTGGCTGCTTTCAAAATTCAAATCTGTTATCGTCACAATTTATTATATTTTATTTTTCAAGACATTTTCTTTTAATTTCAGAAGAGATCCCTGATTCCATAGAAGTAACAATGAAAAAAATACCTAAAGTCACCAATGAAAACCAGTTTATAAGAAATATCATAAAGCATCAACAATTATTTGGGTGTATGGTGTATGGCAGGTTCATTTTAAAAAGTCACTTTTCTAAATGTTATGCCCCATATATTTATCTGTTTTCAGAACCCATGTGATTGAGGAAATCAGCTTTGAGTGTCAAAAGAATTTCCTGAGTTTTCGTATGCTTCTTTATTGTCGAGAGATCGCTTATTGCTGACATGGAACCATTTCCTTATTCTTCTGTAAAGATGCCAATGCCAGAATCTCAGCAGAGAAGCAGTCAGTAGATGTTAAGAGGTTCTTTTCTGAAAGAAATAGATTTATGCTTCTTGTCTAGCATTACGTAGTTATTTTGAAAATGAATTTCCAGGTCATTTTTGTAAGTGGAAGGTACACAACTCTCACAACCACAATAGGCATTTGGAATCTGTAGTAAGCGCTAAAAATTTGAAAACAAAAAAACAGGAACTCAATGAAATTGCTATAAATATTCAATGTATAATATGAAAGACAGCTAACAGCAGAAATCATATGCTAAAGTAACAAGAACAAAATTAACACATTCCAAGAAGGAATTCGTAAACATTTTAATAAAACTAAGTTGTTCTTTTAATATTTAAAACTCTTCAGGATAATTACAGCAGTTGAATTTCAGTGGGTCCAGATGTCAGTCCATGGATAAACTGTATCAGAATTACTTGGGAGCTTTAAAATTGTTTTCACTTTTAAAATTTTTGACATAGTCCCTAGAGCGTTAATTTAAAACTATTGAATCAAAATTGCAGAGATCAAGATATCTTCAATTTAAAACTACCTCAGGTGATTCTGATAGTTTAGCTATGGGCAGGACTACATCTGAGAACTCCAGGTGCAAAGGAGAGGATCCTTAGCAGTTGTCTCAGAGAAACTGCAGAGTAGAATAACCTTTCGAGTTTAGAGATGAACAACAGAGATTCCTGCTTTAAAAAGGTTCTGTGTTAAGGGAGAGGGGTTGGAGGTTGCCAAGAATGGGTGCTCTGCAGACACTGAAGAGAGAGAAACCTGAACAATTCTGAAGACTCTCAATGGACACTTTGAAAAATGTGGAGGCTTTTACTAAGTATTATAGGATGTTAAATTCAGTAGATGATGGAAGATACAGGCAAGACACTATGTGTGTGAAGGAATAGGTCTATAAGAGAACATGTAATGATCTCTTAAAATGTTTATTGGGCCTCTCTCCTTAGAGTAAAATTTCCCTGCAGGGGATCTTTGGCAGATGTCGTTTGAGCTGAGAGCAGAAGGGCAAAGGGCGTGACCCTTGCCCTCTAGCTGGTCCCTGTATTCTCTTATGCAGCTGTTAGAGATGCTTATCAGCCTTCAAAGGTTGCCCGCAGGGAATCCCTGCTGGGTGCCTACTGGCACGTAGAAGTCCTTTTCTTTAGGGAGTCTCTCTCCAGCTACAGGCAAATCTAACCAACACATGTTTAACCTAGGACAGTATATAAAACCCTTTTGATTGCACCATTTCATCTAATCTTCACAACAATCCTGCAAGACAGGTATTATTTCTCAACGTTTTTTTTCTTTAGGGGCTTAAGTCACTTGCTTAGGAACCTAAACATCTAATAAGCTGTGCAGCAGGAACTCAAACCTGTCTTGGACTCAGAATCCTGTGATCTTTGCTCTACCTTTATAAAGCCTCTCTGCTTCTGAGTAAACTGATGAAATTGAGATTCTGAGTTTCTAAAGCTGAAAGCCACACCTGCACCAGTCATGCTTTCACCTTGAGATTTTAAGTCTCCTTGGAGTGTTTTATAAAAGGACTATGTGGATCTCAGTCAAAGCACAACACATATTTGTTGGAAAATAATGGATATACTTTATACTTTCAGAGCCTTTGCAAAGTATATCAAAGTTAATCTTCCCTAAAAGTTTAATTCAGAGGAATTTTTATCTCTTCTAGGCCTGAAAATTGTGTTCCCATGCCTTTAATTAATGGAGGACAATGCCTTAAAAATAAGGCTTTCCCAATGCAGAGAGCATCCTGCTAATAGATTGAAGTAAGGTAAGTTACCATCATAAGGGTGTAACGCTGAGATGAGAAGGGAAAATACAAGATAGTGGGTATCAAGACCTGTGTGAGTAGAAGGGGAAACAGAGGCCAGGCTTACAAAAGGGACAGCAAGGAAATTTCTTTTTTATGATGTCTAGGGCTTCCCTAGTCTACACCTGCTATTTTTATAGTTTCTTTATGAAATACTTTGAGCTATTTAGCAAATTATAGATCATTCATACTCTTTCACTTAGTCCCCTGACTTCTATTGCCAATCTACCAACTGTTGTTTTCCTCAGTAGAAATAGATATAAAAATAAAGAATCAGACCAAATGTGCTTAAATGCGGTGATCAAATTCTCTTGGAGAGTGGTTTTAAAATCTGGATGCAGCTGAGCCCATTCCTTAAGCAAACACATGGAAGCCCAATAAGTAAAACAAAAGCAGAGCTGATGTCATAGAAATGGGGTCAAGGGGACAAACCTCTATTTCATCACATCTTTCGAGCAACCTTTTGACCCCTCTGGCAAGGGAGATCCACCTCTGGGGTTTGAAGCGAGTTGAATTATCCTGTTTTATTCTGTGTAATACAATAAAACAATGGGACCTAGAATTTATTCTCTGTGTCTTTTCTGGCTCCACTGAAAAGTAGAGCTCATCAGGATAGTAAGGAATCTGGGTGGCACATAAACTAAGTCCCATGAAAATGGAAAGTGGGAAAGCTAACACACATCTAGTAACATTTTAATAGCAACAAAGAACTATTTTTCTTTGCAAATTTTCACAGTGAATATAATCTCATGAAAGAATAAATGTTCTGTCATTTTCAGAATTTAAAGAGTGGGATGAATAACTTTTAGAAATACTGAAAAGTGCATTATATCTGTTTGATTTGTGGGTTAGTTCCACCATCCATCATAATTTTAGGCGATAAGAAGAGACTCTTGATCATCAATCTACACTCCTGCTCTTGTCAGGGCTGCTGTCCTCAGATAAACATAATCTGTTTCTACTATTTATTGTTTTTTCTGAAATGATGTGAATAAATGGAAACATAGAAGCTTTTATTTTACGCATAGTCTTTTGTAGAATCCAGGGGCTTTGGAGCTTGTTTAAAGCTTCACCAACCAAAAATGGAGAAAGGAAATTATATGTACATTTTATGTTACACAATAAACTTGAAGTCAGCTTGCTTTCTACTAGGCTAGAGGACATTGGATCCTTTTGTGCTTTTCTAAATCACAATATGAGATATTTATGAAGCTCTTATGAAAATTACATAATTTTCAAAGTGCTCTTTTTATTAAGGATATGTGTATTCTTTTGACTGAGTAATGTTTCACAGGCAGCATTCTTCTGCCTATGTGCAATAGCTAGAAATCTTGAAAGGAGATTCAATCAAACTTGGACCTGCCATTGTTTAGTATTTCTCACTTATAAATTAGATTTACCCTCATATGGTATACAATTTCTTTTTGTAGTCAGTCAAATTCTTCATTTACTTTACAGCATTACTCTAGTCTTGGCCTTTTAGGCATCCAAGTTTTTCAGAACTTTAGTCCAATTAAACATCTCTGAAAATATTCACAGGTATACACTGACTATTTCTGAATCCCAGAGAAAATTAGGAGATCCTCAGCTTATTCTCTCTCTGTAATTATCTCTTTAGAAATAAGAAGTCTTCTAAATTTGTCTCCATTCCATATTGACTTGAAAGGCCCTTACATCCACAAGAAAACTTAAAGGTACAAATATACAATGTGAAATGTCTGTTTTTTGAGTTTTTGCTTTTCTTTAAAGTAACTTATTTAGAGTTTGGAGGGTACAGAATACTAAGGACACAGATTCGGTAGCAAACAATTCCTGCATATCAGAGCATTTCTTTGAGGAAACATCATGGAGAAGATGTATGGAAATTTTAGTTGCCTACCTAAGAAAGAGCTACACATGGAGTCAAAGTAAGTTTGGCCACCAATTTTAATTCTCCACTTAGTCCTTTGGCATTAGGTGGCCAGTTAGGTGATTTTGCTGCTAATCCTCTCCTTTGTGGTCCTTAGAATAGAGATGATAATTCCTAAAATGCTTACTTAAAGAGGGTGTTGTGCAAATAAACTTAAAAATGGGTGCAAAAGGTGAAAAAAAAAACTGAATGCAGATTATGGGCTTATTCCACAAGAATGAATCAAACAGGGCTGATATTCTTTTTTAAGTGCAGATGAGTGTTGCAACAGCCCGCACGTTCTGAAGGGCTTAGACAACCTGAAATTCCATTTTGTTTTTTGAGCCCTTCCAACTTTTGGTTTCTCAGAAAAAGACTAAAGAGAGGAAATGACTCAGCATCATTGAAAAAAGGAATAGATCAAACTTGAACTCAAAAGTTCTATTTTCAGTTGAGGAAGTCTTGTTGCAAAAGCATGGATCTGTTCGCAACTTGAACACACTGAACAAATGCCACTTCTTTTGCAACCTCTGCTCTTACAACATAATATGTGTAGATGTGTGCCTCTTTACAATGCTTTTGTTTTTCATGCCATCCAATAGTTATGAAGTTTTTGTACAAGAATTTCCGTTTGAGGCTAACCTTTATTCCTCAAGTGTCACATATAGTTCCTCTTAAAATATTTATTGCAATTACTTTTGATTCCTTAATGTGAGGTTTGGTAGAGCAGTAACTGCCATCTCTTACTGTGTTGTTATCTCAGTTGCTAACTATACTTTTCTATTTCTTAGAGCACTTTTAGATTCCCAGCAAAATTGAGCAGAGAGTACAGAGTTCACATTTACTCCCTGCTCCTGCAAATGCACAGCCTCCCCCACCATCAAGGACCCACACATTTATTACAATTGATGAACATACATGTACATTTCTTTATCTCCATTAGGGTTCACTCTTGGTGTTGTACTTTCTATGGGTTTTGACAAATGGATAATGCCATATATTAACCATTAAAGTATCAGACAGCATCGCCTTAAATATTCTCTGTGCTTCACCTCTGTACCTATGTGTCTCTCCCTCTTACTCTTCCCAGCCCCTGGCAACTACTGGTCATCTTACTGTCGTCGTACTTTTGCCTTTTCCAGAATGACATCTAGTTGAAATTATACAGTAGGTAGCCTTTTCAGAGCAATTATACTTTTGTAAAACAGAAAGTACTTGGTTGCAAATCATAGGGTTCATTTCTAAATTGATGGCTATTTTTAAGATAAAAATTAGTAACAATTGTAAATACGGTTATTTTAATATAAGATATAAATATATATGTGTTTCATCTAAAAATAAAAATATATATGTATTCTTGGTGGGTTGCAGTGGCTTGCACCTGTAATCCCAGCACTTTGGGAGGCTGAGGCAGGCAGATCACGAGGTCAGGAGATCTAGACCATCCTGGCCAATGTGATAAAACCTCGGCTCTACTAAAATACAAAAAATTAGGTGGGCATGGTGGCGTGCGCCTGTGGTCCCAGCTACTCAGGAGGCTGAAGCAGGGGAATCAGTTGAACCCAGGAGGTGAAGGTTGCAGTAAGCCAAGATCAATCATACTACTGCATTTAGGCCTGGTGACAGAGTAAGTCTCTCTCTCTCTCTCTGTATATGGATGTATATGTATTCTTTGCATGATGGCTGTATCGAATGTCAGGGATCGTTTTCAGATCCTGAAAGAGGCAAACTATTGTCTTGACTGTATTCACATGCAGTTTCCTTGTCTCCTTTTTCTGTATTCTTAGATAAGATAACTGCTGAGAAAAGAGACAAATAAGGCTAAAATGCTTGAAAAATATTTACTTTTTTCACTTTAAGATTCAGTTTTTCTATTCTCATCTACTTTTCTGTCAAGAAAGGAAATCCTGATTTCTACCAGGGTCATCACTTCTTAGCATATTTCCTGCCTGACTAGAATTTAGAAGACTTGAAATTTTCAAAATGAATTGCTTGAGGCTTAATTTTTAATTACTTATTTTAGGTTAGCTGTGTTGTTCCTCCAAACTAAACCTTGAATAGACTGTGTTTATGATTACCCTGGCAGCTGTGAAACAAGGTGACAAGGAGGTCCCATTTTTGTTTTGTCACAAGTAACTGTTGTGGGCCTTGTTAGGCTTTAGCAATTTCATCCCTCTGCATAGATGGTGTTAACATCTCCTCATAAAGTGAAGTTTAAAAATCTCATAGTAAAAAAAATCAATTTTCCTTTTAACTGCCAACAAAGTTTCCATGTCACAATTTGTAAACATCATTTTGGTGAAATGAAAACTGCTTGAGAAGTCCTAGAGAACTGTGGAAAGAAACACTTATGTGTGAGTTTTGCTAGCTGTCAATTCTTAAATACGGAAGCCTAAGACAAGACAGTGATAACATTTCAAGAAGAGGAGGGATACTGAAGGAACAAAAGAGTGCCTTAAACTTTGTTTTGTGTGTTTATAATGTGAATGCTTTTGAATTACAAAAAATCTGGTAGTTGACTCTTCTTTTTATCAATGAAATGTCAACTGATTTTGAGAATAATTGTCAACGCTGTGTGAGATATAGAAAGTCACAAAACCGAGGGACATTATTACCTGAAGAGGAAGTGGTTTAGGAAGCTTGTCAATCACACTCATGACTAGGGAACCACTTTGGTCACCACTTCCGATCCTTACTAGCTGTTATCTGGAGAAAAACAGTTGGTGGCACCCAAGCTAAATGTCACATTCATGACAATTGCTTGGGGTGGGGATGAGGGAGATGGAATTAAGATATATGTCTATGGAGTATGTCTTATTTTTAAAAATCAACTTTAAATATTACTTGTAAAATATTCTAGCAATCAGTTGACCCTAAAACGTACACGTTCGTTCATGGAAAATATATTTTTGATAAAGTTTGCATAAAACAAAAACTGTTAAACTGTTGAAAAATAAGACAGATTTCTCATCTAAAACCACCTTAGTTACATGATATATTGATAGGCAGATTGGCTGATTGAAAATTATAGAAGTAGATAGGACATTAAACACATTAAAAAGATATGCCTGGA